TTTTTTTTTTTTTTGGTTTTTGAGATATTTCTTTGTAAAAATTCAGTAGATCCTACAACAACTGGTAGCACATTTTTTAGCTCGGAAAAGCCCCTAGTGGTGCTGGCCTGTGGGTGGAAGTGGTAAACGATGTTGGATATCGCCCTATCTCTGAAGACGCAGGTCAGACGAATGAGAGTTTTTCTTCAGATTCTGTTTAGTTATACCTGTAAAATGTATGGTTTTATTTCTAGGAAAGATAAGGAAGACCTTGGATGTTCTTTGTAGTCCTGATTCGGACGAATCGTTGCGTAAATGCAAGATGCAATGGCTCATGGAACTTATCACTTTTGCTCAGGTATGTGAAACCATGTTTTGTAACTGGTATCTAACAGGAAGGGTCGAGGTGGTGTAGTGGCAAGTAGCGCACCATCGCACATGCATGGTCAGGGGTTCGAATCCAGGGCCGCTATTTATCTAGGCCAATCAAACCTTCCATCTCCGGTGTCTAGACCAGACTCGTCTACGCTCATGACGACTGCCTGGTTTGGGGATTTGTTGTTTTATCGTTAGGGGTGAATCATTGGTTGAAAATACTAGCAGCTCTATCTTGAGTACGGTCCTTACTTGACGCAGCATTTTTTCACCTTCTATGGTAATAATCGTTTATTTTTTTCGGCCAACAAAAATCGGTTGCCGCATGATATTCAATATTAGCCGACATTATTAGTTTTTGCGCGTGGTGAATCATATCCTGACAGCCGGCCCATCACGTCAGCGAACCGTTTGCGAAACATGCGAGTCGCTTCAGCTTAGTTTGTGACCATCCAGTTTTGTTGCATGCTCTCTTTTTTCTCGACTTAACATTGCTGAATTTTTCTTAAAGGCTCTGGCTTTGATGAGGTTCGAACTTGCTTTTTTCTGATCGTATTCGAGCTTTTTTCGGCATATATAACTCCAATTCTAATATTGGTTCCATTTCAGGGGGTAATGAATATGATTATATTTCAGATTTAGAACTTCATGTAGGAATCTTTCATGCACAGTCTTGATAGTTCCTGCCAAGTAGTGCTATTGGTAGCTCAAAGGAAGTCAACTAGTAGTAGTGCGGACATGCGATTGTCCTTGCTCGTTTGTTTTAGGCTTGTAATCCCCAGAAGATATCGTGACCAAGTAAAAAAAGGCATGACACCTGACAAGAGAGGTAGTTCAAAATATTCAGGGATGAGAAAGTGTCCCCTGAATTCTATGGGGTAGCATCTATTCTATCGAAGTTTTGTGTTCGAGATCTTCTTTAGTTTGTTCATGAGTAGTTTAATAGCAAACTTTTTCGTATTCAGATTGCCACTGATGAATGCGATTTTGGAATGGGGCTAGAGTTGGGTCAGTGGTTGTTCCTAGCAAACCACGAACCGCTCGATAAATTCGCCCATAGACTTCTTGCTATTGCATATTCAATGTTGGGTCGTCAAGAATACAAGAAGATTGTCGATCTTCAGATGGCTCCTGGCATCCGGAGAAGAAGTGAGCTCGATGCTCGGAAGAAAAACCCGGTCTAATTTCAGTTTTTACCTCATTTGATTTGCAAGACTGGCATTAATTGATCTCGCCTTCCTGCATCTCACTTGCCTAACCGTAACTCACCAAACTACTTTTTTTTCTACAATCGTTCACGTTGAGCACTTTATTCTATGCTTACTCTGCAAATTACTTTATACCTCGCGGTGTCTATGTGTTGAAACAGGCATGAATGTTCAATGAATATTATAAATAGATTTTTTGTATTTTTTGGAATGGTTGGGCATCCCCTCCTATTTTTGATCTCCTTTCAAACTTGCTTCTTATTTTTAGAACTGATTACATGCAGGAACATTTCAGGCAGGTTGTATAGCGAAAAGTTTGAGGTTATTTCGTACCGTGGGCTGATTCAAAAGTGTTGTATGGCCAGGTTCCAGAGGCCTAATTGAATCAGTAGGCCTAGAGTATCGATGCTGATGTCATCTGAAACATGACGGACATAAAGGTGAGCGGTGAAAAGAGTAGTCTTCTTTCGGGGAATGTATGACTGAAAAAATTGCTCAGATTGTCCCTCTCGGGGCAGGGCAAGACGTTGGTCGATCTTGTATACTGGTAACTATCGGTGGTAAGAATGTGATGCTTGACTGTGGTATGCACATGGGCTATCAGGATGAACGACGTTTCCCAGATTTTTCGTAAGCTATCAGTTATTCCTTTGCTGCCTACTTCTTTTCTCCAACTTGTTTACTTTCAGGTATATCGGTGGCGGAGGGAAGCTGAATGATTACCTGACCTGCGTGATTATATCTCATTTTCATTTGGATCATTGTGGATCCCTACCTCATATGAGTGAAATTGTTGGATTTGATGGTCCCATCTACATGACTTACCCAACAAAAGCCATTGCTCCTGTGCTTTTAGTGAGTAATATGATGCGTACCACAAGCGGTGTATTTTTGACAATTCAATCAAAAGTAGTTCTTGAAAATTCCAAGGCTCCAATATGGTTGTGAAAGGGTGACGGGTGAAAAGATAACAGTAGAATAGTGTACCTTTTGCCGTTTAACGATACCATTTTCGAAGCATTACACGAGCACGCGGGAGTGACATTAAGTTTACCGATGGTTGGTAATTAGCTAAGCGAATTTCGTGAGATAGCTGGCGATCAATGGCGTTATTATAATCCCTCAATATTTTTTCTTAATCTGTGTGATCGCCAGGGAGGGAAGAACTCAGAGAATCATTCCAGAATGTTTCAGAAATGGTTTATAGTTAACAATCTGACTGTGGCAGTAATCTTGGGTGTAATGAGAAGCCTGTGTTGAGGAAAAAGATCTCTTCCTGTATTTTGTTTTCAATTTTTATGCATTTTCGTCTAGGAGGATTACCGAAAAGTGCAGACAGAGTTCCGAGGAGACACAAACTTCTTCACATCGGCGAACATTAAAGCATGTATGAAGAAGGTTTGCTTTCTGCAGTTTGAATGGTTTCGTCGCTTTTTTCATTCTGAGATTATTCAAGAAGTCCCATTATCGTTGTTCCGAATTTCAGGTAATAGCCGTAAATCTCCATGAGACAGTGCAAGTTGATAGCGAACTGTCTATACGTGCCTTCTACGCCGGTCATGTGCTTGGCGCAGCCATGTTCGAAATCCGTGTTGGTCATCAAAGCATACTGTACACAGGTATAGCTTATGCTGACGTGTTGATGACGAAGACTTTTATTGCTTCATATAGGTGATTACAACATGACACCCGATCGACATTTGGGAGCAGCTCGAGTGTTGCCAGGACTTCGACCCGACTGTCTCATCTCAGAGTCAACTTACGCTACCACAATTCGAGATTCGAAACGAGCGCGAGAAAGAGATTTTCTAAGGAAAGTCCACGATAGAGTAATGGCAGGAGGAAAGGTATACGACTTGCTAAACACTATAATTTCCCTTTAAAGGCAAACGTATTTTGCGGTAACGGTTATGTGTAAACATTTGGAGAAGATAACTATTGTTAAGGTTTTGATTCCTGTTTTTGCATTGGGCCGAGCTCAGGAATTATGTATTCTTCTTGAGTCATACTGGGAACGAATGGATTTGAAAATACCGATTTATTTTTCTCAAGGTTTGGCGGAGCGAGCAAATCAGGTTTGCAATCTTGTAATTACTGCAGTTCACTCAGGCGAGCGCAATTCCAATTATGATTTGTGCCAGATTTGCTGTTACAGTATTATCGATTGTTCATAAATTGGACCAATGAAAAGATCAAACGCACATTTGTCGAAAGGAACATGTTCGATTTCAAGCACATCAAGCCTCTTGATAAGGGATATGAAGAAATGCCCGGCGCCATGGTGTTATTCTCAACCCCAGGTAAAGTTCTGGCTTCGATATGGATGGAGTAGTGCTTAATTGATGTAATGTGGTGGTCTTCCAGGGATGTTACATGGAGGTCAGTCTCTGAAGGTATTTCGGAAATGGTGCCATGACCCAAGGAATATGATTATAATGCCTGGTAAGGAACTTTTTGCTTAAGGTCTTAATTGGTCTCTTTATAGTGCTACCGTAATGCTGCAGGTTACTGTGTGGCTGGAACTGTCGGCGCGAAAGTAATTAGTGGAATGAAGAAGATAGAAATTGAGGGTAAAATGGTACGTTAAAGTTAGACTCCTTCTTATTTCGGACATTAGTGGTCAGTTTTCTCTGGTTTCTAAGCAGAGTTTCGCTGGAATATTTACTGAATTGCAGCACGACATCAATCTGGCTGTAGAATACATGTCATTCAGTGCTCATGCCGATGCAAAAGGAATAATGCAGGTCAACTTACTCTCGTAATCTCCTTTTTTGCTGTAGGCCTTGTTTGTTCATTGAACATGCCTTATGTGCGAGAACGATAGGTGATAAAAAACGCCTAAAAGTTAACAATCAGTGGTAGATATAATATAAACCAAACAACTAATCTGAAAGAATACTGTAATGAGATTGGGTAGCATCCGATCCAAAGAAATTCCCTCTTGCCAAATCGATTTGAAAGACGAAAACAATTTCTTGGCGTTCTGAATTTCGGTGGCTTAGGTAGAACATTCTGGTAATCCTTCACGAATAGCTTCTGTGACACTAAGTATTCGATCTGAAAAAAGGGAGGGTCAAATAGGATTGGTCTTCGGATCACTACAAGGATCCGGCCCGGGGAAATGGGTGGCAAAGTGGATTTGTGGCCATTATGTGGGAAAGTTGTGGAATATATGCAGAGGCAAAAAAAGCTTTTTGCCGTTTTTCTGCTTTTACAATCCGAAATTTTTCATGAAATTCAGGAAGGTGTGTTGTGCCGATGAGATAACGCAGTTTTTAGCTGATCAGAGATTGCCAGCCCCGCAGTGTGATGTTTGTGCATGGTGAAGCAGCCAAAATGGAATTTCTCAAGGGAAAAGTAGAAAAGGTTGCTCAGTAAGATTGTAATTTAAAAGGATATTTATTCTGAATGAGACAAATTCTTCTTACTCCCCTACGATCACCATTTAGGAGTTCCGAGTTCCGGTACTGATGCCTGCAAATGGGGAGTCGGTGACAATACCCGGAATCGCTAATTTAGAGGTCGATGTACCTCAAGATATTGTACAACGATGTCTGGATCTCGACCCCACTCCATCGAAAAAGGCTTGTCCTTTCTCGGCGTGTTTAGTTATGGATAAACAGGTGGGATATGGCAGTTCGCATCTGAGTGTTTGTTCCTTGATAATTATCATTTGCAGAACGGATTAGAGGTGATCTCATGTGAGGCAGCTGCCAGCAGGTTACAACTTGGCCTGCATACTATAACACTGTCACAATTGGTGAAATCCCGCTCAGTAGTTGATTGGAGAGCCCTTTCTGAAGCATTGTCTATTCATGACACCCACCTGCAACATAAACAGGTGAGTGGAGTAACATTGTCAGATTGTAAGCGGGGTAAGTCATTTGTAGTTCGTNGGAATCGCTAATTTAGAGGTCGATGTACCTCAAGATATTGTACAACGATGTCTGGATCTCGACCCCACTCCATCGAAAAAGGCTTGTCCTTTCTCGGCGTGTTTAGTTATGGATAAACAGGTGGGATATGGCAGTTCGCATCTGAGTGTTTGTTCCTTGATAATTATCATTTGCAGAACGGATTAGAGGTGATCTCATGTGAGGCAGCTGCCAGCAGGTTACAACTTGGCCTGCATACTATAACACTGTCACAATTGGTGAAATCCCGCTCAGTAGTTGATTGGAGAGCCCTTTCTGAAGCATTGTCTATTCATGACACCCACCTGCAACATAAACAGGTGGGGGGAGGATTACTGTCAGATTGTTAAGTGAGGATAAGAAATTCGTAAATCGTCCTCTGATCCTATTTTAGGACGGCATTGAGCTTTTTCATGGTGAAATATGTGTGCTACCTGTGAAGGGTGATGAGAATCAGGCAAGTTGTAGTGGTTTCTTTTGTTTATATTTTAATTTGAAAGTTGTGGTTAAAAATATGAATATGTAGGTTAGAACTAAGGTTTCGAAGTGAAGTACAAGCCTCTGTTTGATTCAGCATAGTGGTCTACTTATTTAGCTTGCACTAGAGAAGGAGGTCTCAGTTTGCCTGGGCGGGTTCGATTCAGTACCGAGAAAAGCTTGCGGCAAAGGTGCCACTTCGCACTGTCCCTAACCTCATACCTTGACGAGAGGCTAAACTGGCTTCGCACTTTCAACAGTCCAACGGAGTCCAATCACAGTTCCCACTCTTCCAGAAATCTTCTGAAATTTCTATTACTCCTTGGGTGAAAGTGTAACTCATTCCAGATGATTCGTTTAGAAAAATGTTATTCTCTAACATCTATTGACTCAAGTTGCCTAAATTCTGAATCTTCAGGTGGAGTTAGTATGGGACGAATGCAGAGAAGCGTGGCAGTCGACTATACTGCAGACGATCCAAGAAACTCTCAGTAAACAAGCAGGAGTAGTATCCAACTAGGATCTCTAAACATTTTCTTCCTTGATATCCAGGAACGTTTGTTAAGCTGACGAAACATATGCATATGGTTTTTTGATGCTCTTATATGAATATATGTATAAAATTTTGGATGCAACGTGTTGTTCATGAATATGATGGCACCCGTCCATTCGGCTAGTATCTATTTGAAGTTATTTTGTTTATTTTTATTTTTTTGTGTGTGACCCCATCTGATTTTTCATAACGAAAGCCCTTCAAAGGGTTTGGTGAGTTTCTTTATAGTCGCCAAGCATTGTAAAGTGATCTTATGTTTGTTTATTATCGTAAATCTGTTGCTTTAGAGCGCACCCGGACCACGATGCTCGCAGCCGGTCAGCTTGTTAGCGATTGGCTCAGTGCTGAAGCTATTGCCCCACACGTCGAACTGGGTGATCTTCTCGAATTTAGAAGAGTAGCTCGAATTGGAGGAGCCCCACGAAATATATACACGGTGTGTAGTTAGACTGTGTATTTTTGCATTTCAATCCCGGTTTTCAGTATTTATGAGACTTTCCAGCATTGGGGTGTGTACATAGGACGTCATGAGGACATCCCACTTGTTGTTCATCTTTCCGGTGGCGATGGAGATTTTGATAAAATAGGTGAAGGCAAAGTTGACTCGCTCAGCGGTGGACCGTCTAGTCTAATTAAAGCATGCACTGCCCAGGTTTGCGATTCCTTATCCTAAATGCTGTGACCTCATAATAAGGGTTTCAAAATCTTAAGGTTCGTTGTGATCCATTGCTGTCGATAGCCCGTGAAGATCTGGTGAGAATCAACAACGCTCATGACGTTGATCATCAGCCGTTCCCTCCAAGGATAGTCGTAGAACGAGCCGTACTCCAGGTAAGGCCAGTGATTTTTCGCATTCGCTAAGGGTAAAGCACAATGTTTCTTTCTCGAAATGCTTATTTTAGCTAGGTTCCGGGAATTACAGTATCTTCATGAATAACTGCGAACATTTTGTCAAGTGGTGTCGCTATGGAAACAGGATCAGTGGACAGGTGAGGATTTGCAATTGGTTTGCGTGTGAAGTTTAAGGCAGACGAGGGAAGGGACTGGGGACGGATAAAACTCCCAAGTTCACGCCCATACACGGGCGCGTTCTATATGTCCTGTAATTATTATTAGTAAATATTTGAGTAAGGAGCATTTTTTCATCAGTTCACATCCCAAGTCTCTTGAACCGTGGGTAAGCTTTTCAGGCTGTTGCTGTAAAGAGTGTACTTCTGGGTACTGCTTTAGCTGCTGTGGGAGCACCGCCAGCGCTTGCGATAGGTACAGGTTTTGCTTTTCTCGCCTTAGCGACTCCTGTGTCCAAGTTGATCAGTCGGTACTATGGATCCCATTTCTCGCTTTTTTGAACGTTCAGAGATTACGCAGAGTGTACATATGCAGATTTTTTGATTTCGATTTCAACTTCTTTCAATGTGACATAGCCTTTTCTGTTTTTAGCGAACACGATAACTTTTTTCCTTTCAAGCAAATTGGGTTACTTCATTATAACTCTTGTACACACTATACTTCCGTTACAACATTATACTCTCCTTCCGATTTTATGCTTCTATTTTCTTATGTTCTTAGTACATTCCCAGGGATTGGGGTGGATAACCCATCAGACAAATTGACTGCTTCTCTTTAGTTTATATAGGCACAATTGTAATACTTTTGTTACTCGTGTCTGTTCACCTTAACTTTGCCATTAGTACCGGTATTATGACGCTTGTCCTTATGTCGGTTGAAATACCGCTCCGATTAAAGTGCACTAATGCTTGCTGGGCACTGGATATGCTTAACTTTCATGACAATGAGTGTTGTAGATTTTTGCAGAATGCTCATCATACTGTAGAATACGATTGAAACTGTATAAATCATGCAATGAAGTGATTCGACGGCATATTGTTCATAGGCGGGTGCGATTTCATCACGAAATCGGTTTTTGATACTTCATGATAGAAAAATTGTTTGAAATATCATGGATGTGAGATTGTTGCGATTTTGGCCCTCGGTCATTGTCACATAGGGTATGCATGCAGCTCATCAGGAAGGCTAGTCGGTGATTTGTAAGTTGTTGCCAGCTTTGCCGAATTACCGTTCGTCTTCATTTATTTGTGACAACAACTTAGCCACAAGCGAGATGATTACTGTCCTTTACAGCTGTGGTAGCAAACAGCTCATTAAGAACGATTCTGTATGAACCTTCAAACGCTTCCAGCAATCCCAGTGAAGGACAAATATGTGTGGCATAATTCAAGAGCAATTACTGCCAGGTAAGATCCACTGGAAGATGAGGAATTTATAAACACTTGATTAACGAAAGTCAAAATGTAAATTTTTAGACAAATTGTTTCTTACAGCTGCATGTCAGAATTACTTCGAAGTTCATATTATTCCTGGTTGTTTGTAAGTGAAAAATTTCTCAATAAAAGAAGGTCCTTACTTCCTCATCTCTTGCCTCAGAGACTTGAACTCTTTACAAGCAGGAATAGTGTGTAGTCAGTGGCAGTCAAGAGGCTCTGGAGAGGATATCGCTCGGTGTTCCTCGATGCAAGCAAGTGCAGAGTGGAATCCGGAGTTCCCAGCTCCACCAAAGATCGAAGAACACGTGGGCTGGTCACATTATGCCATTTTCTGATGACTGATGGACCAGGGCAGTTAGTGATTAGTTCAATTGGCTCAAACGAATATCGTGGGCCGGTAGGACTTTTCACGAAAGTTTTTAAAGGAGGGACCCCTTATTCCTCGGCGAAGAGGTCTGCTAGGCTAGGACAGCTAACGACAGGGACGAATGGAAGACATAGCGCTCGCTCAAGCAAATCGTCGATTAGCGGGACCATAGGTGATACGGCAGTACAGGGTAGAAGCAGGTGAACCAAGGTTGGCGCAATGGTTGCAGACACAATGTTTTTCTTTATTACCTCTCTGCTATGATTTACATTCGACGAAAGTTTTGCAACAAAGTAGTTTGGGTTGTCTTCAGAGTCCGCGGGAATCAGAGGAGGCTCTGTAGCTCTGGAACAATTCCTCGAAATGCCACAAACCAGGAACGAAAACATGGGGGAAACAAAGGAACCTGCTGGTCTCTGACAAGGCACAGTATGTAGGCAATCAGAGCCTATATTCGTAAGATGGTCAAGAGCACAGAGCAAATGCAAAATCCGTAACCCCGGCCTGAAGATCTTCAGGGGTTCTTGCAGGTAGATCGAGTTGGTCATGGGCCTTCAAGACCGCCGGAAGGCGGGAATTATTCCTGATAAGCGTGTATTCCTCACTTGTCTACTATGGTCCTTTCAATTTTCTGCAGTGTTTTCTGCTTCTTGGCTATAACTGCATCTCCAATGGTCCCGTTGATCATCGATTATCCAAAGTTGGCGCTGGTAACGTTTCCTTTGTATCCCTGCTCAAGTCAGAGAGCCCTCTTTGCTGTAGGGTTTTTTTTCCTTTTCAGATCGTTTTCTCATTCTCCGAAGTGTGGTAAGTACGTGAGGTTTACGTCTGCAAATAGGAGTCTTTGCCTTTTCCATGGTGCAAACATCCAGCGATTGCCTCTCACTTGCTCAGTTTCCGGTATTGCCATATGGTCGTACGATGAGATCTGTGTGGAAAAAGTGACCTCTTCTGCACGTCCTTCTCCTATGCCTATCTCCTGATTCCTTTGTATGACAAGAGCCTTAGGAAGATACTCGATTGGACTATCACCCTAAGTTGCGATTCAACTGACGCCTCTATAATGTTTGAAAGTCATACGCGTGGCGCACACCGATGGGATGTTTCACAACCGAACAATTCAGCGCCTGGTTTTCAGATAACCCTCTTAAGTATTGCTGGAGTTTGCAAGTTCTCAGGCAACTGGCTGTTCATATCGGGAAAGGGAACAGTCAGCATCGAACCCAGGTTCGTCCCCTGATCATGTATGTTACCTTAGTTGCCATTTAACAATAGGGATTTGGAAGTCTTAGGGAGTTCGTAGTACAGTAATCCTGCTGAAATTCCTGAGTGACTATCCTGCCCACTCTACCGTGTCCTAGACCATTTCTTCTTTACTGTGCCGTATGTGATGGGATTTCGATCGTCTCACCTCTTTTCTAATTTACTGTGCGTGACACTGTAGCACAAACTCTTTCAGACTTCAAAATGTGTCTTATCCTTTTCAAAACCAGCATCAGGCAGTTCCTACTGTGTTACTTTCCCTAGAAGCTCACACAACTCAGATTTTAAAGTCCCATGACGGTGTGATACAGTAACCCTGAAGTCAACATCATCAGAAAATTACAAATTTTTATTGTGTCAGTGATGGCACATTCTTTATGTCGTGTCCTGTAACAAATGGTTCTTCAATCAGTATTTTGCTTGGTTTGTCGCTTCACGTGTGAATCGACCAAGTGCATCACGTAATCGTCCTTTAGTATCTCGTCCCACTCCTCTGAAAGCAATTAAGATATTAGCTGGCATGAACAAGACTTGCTTTTCCGCTTCACCACATATCACTGCCGTAGCTGAGGGGTATTGATTTTACGCGCGCGATCGATCAATATCCCTCGTTAAGTTGTGTAACACTAATGAGGCGGTCTGTTGGGAAAACTCGGCTTGACTGAGATAGTATCCCGCTTTTGATGTCTCTCATTTGTGCTAGATGTGATTATCGAATTTATCGCGCGCGAAATCGACTCCATTTTCATGAAACCATGGCAGTGGAGAGGTTGCTTACCTTCTAGACTTCCTTGCAGATGAACTTTTCTTTGCACTGCCGGTAGCTTTCCTTCTTCTCGTTCTCGGTGCTGTGCTGCCCAACTTCGCAACGTCCTTGGACGTCTTGTTTTTGCGCCCGCGTTTCGCCGCAGTCTTTGATCTCGTTCTCGATGAAATTGGTTCATCATCCTTTTCCTTTCTTCTTCTAGCGGATCTACAAAAGAAGACCATTTCATTGTGGCAATGGATTCCTTTTGAAACGATGACTTACTGTAATTTTTGTGATTTGTTTCTTCTTGGTATCGGTGAGTAAACTACACGTTTACGATGTACAGTTCTACGAGTTTCTTTCACGCTGTCCTCCTCACCTGAATACCTCAGTTTGTTCAGATCTCTTCAACCTTCAGGAACACCGAGACTCACGTGAATATGAGTCTCTCGAACTTCTATCCGATCGTGAAGTTTCTGTGCTCGATCTTCTGTGAAGTGGCGAGTAATCACGGCTTCTGCTGTGGCTGTAGGAGTATCTTGTGGGACAGTGACTGTAGTGCTGTGATGGCATTGTCAGTAACTAAATGGTGTAGTCCCGTGTCGACAGCTTTTATAGGCTAGGACGATGTTATCACGGTGTTATTAGCTTTCATAGTTGATAAAGGTGATATCAGATGATACCAGGGGTAAAAGTGCTTCTCATAAGACGAGGCTTCATTCGCAAAGTGGTGGTGGGTCGTTCAGGTCACGGTACTCATACCTGACTAATTGTAAGCTGCAAAATCATTGATTCCGGGTAGCTTGAGTTAAAACTTCTTGGTTCCTTTGGGAGTAAGTTCTTGGAAGAACACGGCCAAGGATCAGCTAGCGTCTACAATTTATACTGTCCGAGTCATTTAATTCTTTCGTGTTTTTCATTCGCTTCCTTCGCAGACCAGCTTGACCGATTTGTTTCCGAAAACCCCACTTACCGTATTTAATTGGCACGGCTTTTGCTGTTCTTCGAGAAAGCTGCAAATCTATCGTATACCCCATGAAAGTCCGCGGAATCGTTATATTAGGGGGTAATGGAACCAAGATCGGTCTCGGATCATGAGCGTGGCGTAGGCGCCACTTTGCAGTAGGCTATAGCTGGGACTGTTAGAAGTCGCTTTTTAACCTTTAATTCCTATGGTGAAGCCGTCAGCTGAGTGCGGTATTGAACATTGTTGATGCATAGATCAGAGCAGATCAGGTTTTTTTCACGAAAAATCGATGATCAGAGTGATTTGATTTTATGACAGCATCCTTTCGCTCATAGTACGGCATGTCAACTTTGGGCTTCGTTCACTAAGCTGGTGGAGAAGCTCGACCTTCAGTAGCAGATTCTCGACCCCACTGCTTCTACTCCTGTACCTCTTACACCTCTGAAGCATATACTTCGAAAAGTGGCACGCTGACATAGTACTTACAAATTTGGGCTCAATTATGAGGCGCTGTTCTTTACCGACCGTGTTCAATCTCCTCATTATTGGTACAAGGGAAAAGAAATATAATGCTGTCATAACTTTCAGTCGTTCAAGCTTCAGTTGTAACGACCACTTAGCCCCCTTCCCTGTTCTTTGTTTTTCCTCTGACTTATNTAAATAAATAAATTGGTTAATAAATATGTCGCCTGCAAATCGCATAACGACTTTCTTATAGAATCACGTAATGCATGCCTGGGCGGTACGATGGATGGCAAACGAGCTTCAGACTTCATTCGAACACCACTAACACTTGCTTGATCGTGAGATGGAACCCCAATCAGCTTAAAACACAGCAGTGGAGGGAAATCGTCAGGTACCTTAACGATTTCTTCTCTCAAAGACTCCTGAATTCGTTTTTCACATGGAGTTATTGCTTCGAGTGTGTCAGTACGATGGTCCGAGCTTCTCGACTGATTACTTCATGAGTGAACCGGTTTCGAGCTTCTCAAAACCTAGCTCCCCAGTTTCAATAGTCATGGAAGATTCTATTATTCTACCCTCGTAGTCGAATCTCATAAATCATCTGAGCCGTCGTCAGTTATTCGTCGCCGATTAAATTGCCAATATTCTCTTTATTCATTCAGCTCACTTCAAGGGGGTTATTTGACTCCTAGAGGTCCCATTCATTGAAATCTGACTCACATGCTACATGGGAACCTCAGTGATCCCAGCGTGGATGGATTCCACATCCGATTTGTCTTCGAGCGGCGGTTCCAGACGAAATTTCCGGAATGCTGCCTGAAATCAATCTCGTTTCTCGAAATGAAAGTGATTGAGAATTGATTTATGGGGGACTATGCAGTAGCATTCCATTCCAGAGCATTCCACCAGAAATCAGCGCACATCAGGCCTTCTGCCCTCATCTCCACTCCCTTTTGTCTCGAACATCCGTCCATTAATGGCCAGGACTTTGTCATATATGATGTAGGGATAAATTGTGTTCTACTCAAGTACCTTGAATTACTCTTGAAAAGTACAAGCGGAATGAAACTTAAAATTGAGTTTTATCGAGCCTTTCCTTCCCAAAGATTATTTGTGATGAAAGTGATTTCCGAGTTGCAATCGTCTTGCTCTACCTTGCAATAGAATCCCATCCGTTGTGGGAAATACAATCAACTACGTAAGGGCTTCCAATTTGGAATGATTGCCCATGTTACCCCGTGAGACTCACTCTCGCTACTTTAAACACTCCATTACGGAGATTTGAAGGTTGATGGTGAACGGGGAAGGGACACAGGGACGACAACTATTTCGGTTCTTCAGCGAATCTTTTTAAAGCTACTTTTTCCTTGCTTTCCGAACCAGATACTGAAGGAGTAGCTTGATGATTGCCTTCTCCTCCAAACCTTCGCATCAGAAATTATGCCAAAACTTTTCCGATAGTCCCGATTTTTTCTCATGAATCATCTGGAATTTTCCATGGAGTTACAGTAGGTGGGCTCCACTCTTTTGGGTGCACATGTAGTATCCAGCTCCCTCTTCAAGCTTATTTACCCCTATAACGGTGGCACTGTCCCTCCATATTCAATACGTGGTTCTCTATAAACTCAAATCTGCTAAATCCACTGCTGAAGCTTATCGAAATCGTGTCAAAACTTTGCCTTCGAAGCCCCTTATAAGCGGTTTTGTGCACTCCTAGATTCTCCAGCGGTCCTGGCTTTAAAACTGGAAAGAGAGAAGTTGAAGAAAAGCGTCTATCTGATCAACCAACCACGCATTCAAGGTCCGGGATATGTTAAAGGCACCGTTCACGATTAAAAAGTTACATGAGTACTTACCTTATTAATACTCGGCGGCCCCCATGGGTTGTAGAAGGGACCCTCTCACTCCCCCAATCTCGACGTCCAGGGCATAGTGGCAGCCCCGTTGTTGCCGTTGTTCGCGTGCCCGCCCCTCGATCGGTGTCACGTTAGACGAGTGTCGAGACAATACAGATTGCTATTATTCGTTCTAGGACCCACGCACAAACAGCTAATCGCCGAGTGATGAGGCAATGTTTTTCTCCCACTCTTTTTTCCTCTGTTTTTCATTTAGCCGCCGCGATCCCTTATTCAATTTCCTACTCCTAGAGGCTGAAAATCGTGAG